AAGATGGGTAAAGGGTCATAGTATTTTTTTAAGCAACTAGCGACAATATTGTAAATTTGGCCAACATTTTCCACAGGCAGTATCTCACTCCTGAAAATACTCCTAAGGGTACGCCAGGATGCATATGTATGGCTTCAAATCAGGTCCGTATGCTGCTCACCTGTGTGGTGCTTTGGTTTCTGCAGAAGTGATTGCCAATTTGCAAGGGAAAGTTTCCTAAAATGGGGAAAGGAACAAAGCAGCTCTGCCAAGGAACATTTGACAAATGATTGGTGAGTGATCTCTCTGGAGGAATCCTGTGAAATCTAGGTGTTCCATGCCACTGAGTAGCTGCCCAGAGGATTATGAAACAGATTCAAAGACAGCTAGTCTTGAACATTTCTATCCCTTAACCGACTTATAGAGTATAACAAAGGACAGCTCATATAACCAAGCAGTATCTACTCAAAATGATCACTTACCAGAGCTCCCACTCCAGCACCATGGATGCCAGAGAGAGTGCTGCAACTAACTCAAACTCTCCAGGGTTGAGAAGAGGTCCTGGCTTTCCAGGATACTGGGCAACTCCATTGACTCATCTCATCCTCCAACTCTACTTCCTTGTCCACCTCCTGGTTAAAACTACTGGACACAGTCTCCAGAACCCCTAAAGCATCCATGGGTCTCTTGGCCGTTTAGATGGGGTTGCTGGCAAGTATGGCGTCCAGCTCCTTATAGAAATGGAAGGTCTTCAGCACAGCATTTGAGCAACGCTTTGACTTCCTTGCCTTCGGGTATGCCTGCTTCAGCTCCTTTATCTTTGCCTGATGCAGATACATACCCAATTTGTAGATCTTACCCAACATGCCATGAGAACTCTGACTGTAGGTATTGAAGTTGGTATGGCTGCGGTGAAGACTGTACAGCCTCCTCTCCTCACAGATCCAACAACTCTAGTGTGCTCTAAGTAGGACACTGCTGTGTGAAGCTGCTATGGTCAGCTGAGAAGATGAGTTATGAGCTCTCTATGCTGAGCAAACAAGAAGTGGAATTTCAAAAATCCTGGTCCTTTAAAGGGCAAGGGGGTGGGTGTCTTTGTAACTAGATTCAAGTCAGTAGAGTTTGAACTGCTGACCAGAGCGGTCAGGATGGGCATTGTGAGACACCTCCTTGAGGTCATTAATGGTGACATAACCAAATGTAGTGTCTATATTGACATTGTGGATCTAATTTGCTGCAAAAAGCTCTATGCCTCTTGTCAGTAAAGCAGGAGAGTTTTCTCAGTGGGAGAAGCATTGCAGCATGTATGTCTCCACTGTTGGACAATGAAAGCTGAATTTTGCTGACAAAACTGTAGTGTAGACAAAACCTTAGTCACCATTTTGGACTCAATGTGGTATTTTTTTTTATTTAAAAGTTTCATGCTGGAAATAAAGAGGAATATATACTATATATACAGATAGTAAGTGGTAACAGATATAGAAAAGTGGAAAATTTAAAAAAACAATAGCTAAAAAAACTTCTATAGTACATTAGAACCATTAGCACTAAATAGTGTGTGATCATCTATGATCTGTACATTCAGACTACTTGTCACAGAACCAAGTCCTAAGAGGAAGCAGAGAAAGAAGAGAACTTCCTCTCCCTTATGTTGGTTTATTATCCAATTCCAGATTTGATAATACAAGCAGGTATATGTAATTCCAGTCATGGAATTACCCCCATATCAATTTGTAATATAGTTCTAGAAATGGTTTCCAGTCATAATCATTGATATTCATTTGATTAGTATGTTGGAGAATCTTCATATTTGATCACATCAAGGAGGGCAGAGGTTCATGAATCTATGCATGACATGGAGTTGCTGTTTCTGGTCATTTGTACAATTCACTTAGCTGCCAAAACAGTCTGGAGGTGCTAACTTCTTCTCCCAACAATGTAGTTAGAGTATGAAGCAAATTGGTTTCTCCCAGTCTCAGTACCTCTGCATCTCCTTCATGAAGGGTTACCTTCTAAGGTTCATACTTTCAACTGACATCATTCCGACAGAAGTTACCGAAAGAGCACTTCCAGATCCCTTATTGGCTGTAGTTCCCATAAACATCAAAGAGAGTGCGATGTGCTCAGCATGTCTGAAACCTTCACCACTTAATTCAATGCCTAGTAAAGGTGTACAAAAAATAGAAATTCCAATTCATGGAGGATTTAGAGGATTTGTAAATTGTCTTTGTTTCAGTTATTGACCACCACCAAATATTGAAATTCTCCCTCAAAAATTCCAAAATTGTTGTTTCAGATCAATTGGAACATTTTTGTTTTGAAAAGTCAAAATGTTTCATATAGACTATGATTTTTATAATAAAATATTCACAATTAAAAGACGTTTTAAAAATAAAACTAATTAATTCCCACAATGTCAATACAGGAAGTTTCAACAGCATTTGAGCCTTTTCCCAAGATTCTTCTGCAAAACTGACATGAAACTTGCAAAGTATTTTGCTGGGGCTAGAATTGTGGTGTCTGATGGACAATGGTTCAACTGAAGGTTTTTGTTTTGTTTTTTTAATGTCCAGATCTAATGCCTAGTCAGGATCTTGATGCTTCTGGTCCACCTAAGTTAGAAAATCTAGGTTGCAGAATTTTGGGGTACACCATTGTTGTCCACATAATGTGTTTCCAGTCATGGTGTCATGGCTGGGTTAAATAATAAATGGGGTAATAGAGCAGTGCATGGAGAACAGGTGTGAGATGTGGGTGATCAGCACTTGTAAAAAAATCAACCAATTATTTAGGTATCCCACTTTATAAATCCTGATTTGAAAACTCTGGTCTAAGAAGTCAGATGAAAATGTTAAGATGCTCACTATAATATTGCCTCAGTTATCTTGCACATGCTATATGAGATTTTTCTTTTTAAATGTGCAATTTATCACATTGATGTGTGTTAAACTGTGAAACACATATATTGTGAATCATGGCAGAACTAACTTTGCTGTAAGAACCATATTTTGTCCTCTTGCTTCAATTTGAAACAGTAATGTATTTTTTTCCCATTAAATAATGTATAGTATTTTTCCCATAAAGCCCTTTCAAGCATTCAAAGGGCACTCTAGATTAATAAATTATAGGTAGTTTCTTGCCAGAACTGCACTGAATTTCCCATATGGTCTGGAGCTTGTTTGCCAGAGCTGCAACATGCAGCATACCAAATCCTACACACAAATGTTCTACTTGGACTTCATTCATGAAAAGCTTCTTCTAGCTGTTTTATTTGTTCTTCAGTTGCAGGTAGGTGCTTGCAGAATTTGAAATCTCTGCTGAAGCTACAGGCTAAAATGTGTAAATCCAGACCACACAAAGACTGTGCCAAATAAAAAGGCTAAACATAGATGAAAACAAATAGATTACATGATGGGAGTGCTTATTGTTAGCTATGTATCAGGGAACTCAGAGAAGGTAATAGCACCCTGGAAACCAGCAGTACCATCGCTGGAGGCATTTTTTCTTTAGCTTGGATAAAGGTTCAGATGGAAAACTTGGCTTGGAGCCAGGAGGGCATGCCAACCAGACTGAGAATTTAGCATTAAGCCAAGGTGGTGTTCTTTAACTCAGGGGTTAACTTTTTTCTGAGCCCTCTCTGCCCCCCTCCCGCTAACATCCTAAAAAACTGCACAGCCCACTGGTGCCACAGCAACTGCTTTTCTACATCTCCAGTAGATTAAAAGCCAGTGTTGACATTAACGGGAAGCAAGCAAGAAAACTGCCTGGGCTCCCCCAAAGCAAAACTGCTCAGGGTTGAGCTTTACATGGCGGTGGTTGGGCTTTCTTGCCCTGGGCTCCTGTAAATCTAATGCCAGCTTTGCTCTCTGGTTTTATTTTGGAGGTTCACCCTGAAACCAGCTTGTGGCCCCCCACCGGGCCCCAGACTCCTGGTTGAGACCCTCTTCTCTGACTCAGTGGTGAAATTAAAAGACGTGTGGGAGAAAACACATTACTTTGTAAGCTTCAGATAAACAAGGGTGGAATTCCAGGCAGTTCAGTGTAAAAAATGTGATTCCTGGGATGTCCAATAAGCTGTTAGCACACTAAACCAGCTTCAGTTTAGATTTCTTGAGCAGGGGATGATCAGAATGAATTTCAGAGTCCTAACAGGGACATACACATTTGGGGGTTGAAAAAGGAACCTATCATGCTACAGAGGCTAGGGTATTTTTAGAGTTTAAATGGATCAAAAGATGAGGCAGAGTAGAAAAGCAGTCTGTTTTTTATGTGAAATAGGTTCCGATAGGACTGTTCCACAGGAACCTGAATTCAGAAGCATTGCTCCTTGGACCATGTGGAGCTCTAGCATCTCCCAGGGTACAGCATACAGAAGTGCTTGCAATATCCTCAAATATACACATATGGAGGATGTGAATTTACTGGATTGCATTATATTTAGTGTGTCTGAATAAATATGGAAACAGCAAGTTTGTTTCTTCAGTTATTTCCACAATTTTATAGGCTATATTTGAGTTCTCATATACAATAGTAGGTTGCTTGTTTTCCTATATACATGAAGTTTATTTTACTAGCAAGTGCTTCTGGATTTCTTATCAGTAGCAGTGCATATAATCTTTTTACTCATTATGTTTACTTTGATTTTCCTTCCAAATCACAAATTTATAATACACAAGTTGTGTAACGGTGCCTCCATTCTGCCTTCAACAGATAAAAACACAAGATGGTGTGGTAGTACATTACAATCAGCCTCTAGTGCAGTGGTCCCCAACCTTTACGGGCTCCCGGGCGCCTGGGGCCAGGGCCACACACACGCCGGGCGCCCGGGGGCGGGGCCGGGCATCCGGGGGCACGCCAGGGGACTGGGATGCCCTTGCACCCAGCGCCGGCGTGTGCCCTAGGGCCGGGGCTGGGGCCGCCTGAGCGCCTTGTGCCATGGGCCCGGGGCTGGCGCTGCCGCCCGCGCACCAGGCACCAGTGAGTGTCACGCGCCTGGGGCCGGCGCCTCCAGTGCGCCGGGGGCGGGGCCAGCCCGGGTTGTCGGTGGGCGCCTACAAATGCCCCGGCGGACTCCATGGCGCCCGCGGGCACCGCGTTGGGGACCACTGCTCTAGTGTCTGTGAAAAGAATGGAAATTAACAGCCACTGAAATGAAATAATTCTCTATCCCCCATAATGGGCAGGAACTCTGCAAGCTTTCCCCATCATTAATCTTCCATTCTCTATCCCACTTTCTGTCTAGAAGTGAAAATGTGTCGGTCTCTCTTTATTGAGAATTCCAGGCTTTTGAGATGAGTAATTGTAACACCTTGGAACTGTACTTGGATGAAAATTCATTTCATAGAGGTGAAACGTTTGTAACAGGGCAATAACATTTAAAAACATCTCTAAAGGTTATGCAATAAGTGACTTATTGTATGATTGACTAACTAACTCATGCATACTGCTTTGAACATAGAGTGCATGAAGAAATATATGCTGTTTAGCCAGGAGTCTTCTCCTCTGCCATTTTCAAATCATATGGTTCACATTTGTGTGTCTATTTATTAAAATATAGTGTGTAGGAAATAGTAGAATACAAAGAATGCTCAAATAGTGGAAGTCATGATACAAAACCTAGATCAAAAGAAAATAAATGTAAAGGAGCTTTCTGATAATACATTTTAGCATTATGATGGTCCATATGATCTTTTGGCTTCATAGAAATAATACATAAAAGGTGAGATGGGGTAGTGGACTGATGAGCAACTGAAAGTAAGAACGCCTTATGTTTGGTATTTACACACTGGGATGAGAATTTCTAGACTGATTTTCCAAAGAGTGGCTGAGATAACAAATGAGGCTCTAAACCTAGTTACATAAATCATGTTGCTTATGGTTGTAAGCAACCACAGCCTTTTGGTCCATAAAACCCAGAGATATTGCCTCAAGATTTTTTTGAGGGGGAGGTAACCTAGAAATTTTATTTCAAATGTTAACTACTTGCTAGGACCGTCTTCAACTTCCAGGAGCCTTGGGCAATCTCCTAAGATCAGTCAACTATGGTCCTATGTCCCTCAACATTATGAGGACCCCAGATACTTGAAGATCACTAGCAGAGCAGTGACTGCCATCCCTATTCCTGCAAGCATCTGCAGTCCCAAAGTTGAGGAACAGGGCCATGTGATAAATAGGCAGTGCTGGCTAGGAGGACCATTATCAACACTACATACTCTTCCTGGAGGAGGCGAATCCCTAGCACAGGGTCTATGCACAGTATATAGCTCCATGCCAATGAGAATGGATTAAGATCAATATTTACAAAGAGCTAACATTTGCCTGAACACAATTACTAGGATAAGTCATTGGCAGATGGTTATGATGACATAGATCTAATGGTACATTACGTAAGCACCTTAGGACTTAAAGATGCCCTAAACTTTTAGTCATCTTGATTTAATCTTTTTATGCATCAAACATATACAAGTAGTTTCAACATTCTCTATTTTAAGTTAACCTTGTGCAGAAATTCAAAGCTTTAAAAACTACTTTGCTCTTTTCTGTGTTTGAGATATTGAAATGCTGGTGATAAAATAAATTTAACATTTTAAAAAAAAATATTTAAACTGTGACATACCAAGATTTACTAGTTTTAAAGACAGTCTGAAGTTAAAACTGAACTCCACATTCTGCAACACTAAATGAACATTTTATGACTTGTTTTTTTTTGGTGTGACAAGAAACAATTGAAAAAGGTTTGCTACTGCTAGAATTACATTGCTTAGAGAAAAATATTCGGTGGGTTACCATTTGTTGCCATGATTTACAAAGATAAGGCCTATAGTCTATATCAGCTTCACAGTGAAGTTTTAAAGGAATAGAGCTCTCTGTGGAGTTTGAAGATTTCTGCATAATTGTTTGTGTGGTTGCAAACAGGGCCAAATGATACTCTCGTACTAGCTTCTCAAGAAATTCACTGCATCTCTTCAGATTCATCTCTTGAATGTTAATGCTCTCCCCTCCATTGCTTCTATCTATCCAATAAAAAGCTGATATGCTATCTAAAATCATAATACAGAGAGAAGGGTGAGTGCAAAACTTGTTTTCTAGAGAGTAAAGTGTGAGAAGCAACTGAGTGCTGCTGTTGCAGTTAACAAGGAAAAGCCTTCCAAGGCACTGTTTGATCATTTCTTCTTTGCTTTGGGACAGTCTGTGTTCAAGAATGGTAACTAGGCGGAGCATATCAAAATGGTAGTCTGTGTCAATGAACATAACTTCTACTTCCAGTCCTCCTCCTGATTTTGGAAGGACACAGCGTGCTACCAGGTGATAAAGCATTTCTGTTTTTCCTGTTCCTTCTGGACCATGGAATTCAATGACATCTCCTGAATAAAAAAAGAACACAAATTAAAAAAACAAACAAACACATGAGATGGAGCATGAATTGCTTACAAACTATTTTAAGTCTTTATTGACCCAATTTTTCAAAGTTGATGAGCACCTACAACTCATTTACTTCACTGCGAGCTGCTATTATATAGACAGCTGCAAGTGCTAATTTCTTCTGAAAATCTGGCCCGAAGACCATTTTGAGCCCCTCTGATCTACATCGACTAATTACAGTTAAACCAAATTTCTACACCTTCATCAAAACTACTTTTAGCCCAAGGAACTCTGTGGCTTCTTGATGTTTTGACAAGTAGAACAAATGTAGAACACTCCCTTCTCCTTCCATTCCTGTCCTACTCAAGTCCCTGAAAGAAGGCGGGAATATACATTACAGATTCAACAGATGCTAGAGGTATTCAGGCCTAAAACATAAAATAAAGAGATCACCTAAAATAAATTTAAAAAACCCCAACTGTTTTGACTTTTCACTCCCCAATCCTGCATTGTTTTGCCTAATCTTGATGTCTGAGTTAGCCTTGAAAAAATTCCATTCTTCATGCCACTGTATCAGTATGTATTAAAATGATTACTACAATGGTTAATGCAATATGTTATGAAACAGAAATGAAAATTACATTTCCCATGAAAAATCCATTTTGTGGCTGATAGTTTAATAGCTCCATACGGTACTGATGACTGGACATGAACACATCATTTCCATTTTCTTTTCCCACTCCCATCCCAAACACACACAATTAAGTTTCACCTGCTATTAATTAGGTCTTGTCTATACAGAGGGGTTTAGTTTACATGAACTGAAGTTGGTTGGGTCTGCAAATGCCTTTGTACATGACACAATTCTTTGGCGCAAACTAACTCTGTGTTTATCACAAACTCTGGAGTCCTCTTTTGAAATGTGTCATGTTTGATGCAAACTGAATTAATGCAACTGATTGTTCATAGATGCAATGATGCTGCATGCTACTTTGACAGTCCTCCAACTGCTATCTCACACTGCTTTGCAGTGCCCATTATTGACCTGTCTGTTCAGCTGTGCACTCTCCACTGCAATGGAGTGAAGTTGACCAGCTATCCCCACTACAGTTTAAAAGCTGGCACAGTGCCAGGATTGTCCCAATTGCTCCTGAATTCCAATATTATCAGCATTACAGTAGTATTACTCCCACAGCCTTTACAAAATGCTTCATACACTTGCTTCAAGCTGTGTCAAAACCCTAGATCTCATTGCCATCTGGGCAGCACCCAGATGATTGCAATAGTCTCTTCTGACCTTGGAATTGGTGCAAGTTAGCCAACCACTCAGCCATTGATAAATCCCTGTCCTTCAGTGTCTGCCTGCTGCATGTAACGTGTCTGGGAGTAAGGTGGCTATTATTCATTTCTCCTCCCTCCGATTCTTTCCAGTTTGAGGGGGAAGGGTATCAGAGATTGTAACTGCTGTGTGTCTGGTGGCTAGACTGGGATTTTTGGGGGTATGGTGTATGCTGTTTGGATTTGCAGTTGTGCCCTGAAGGCTTTGGGGAGGCATTGGGAATTATATTCCTAGGCTGTCTTTGCAATTTGACTGTGCCTTGAAGGTGCTTATACAGCGGTGGAAGGGTAAGCGAGGGATATCTGGAGGCAAACAGGACAGTAATCCTCTCTGCATCCCCATTAAGCTGTCCTGACGCTGGATGTGCAAGGTGACTATGAGGCAAAGAAAGGTCTTATTCAAAGGGGCAAAGGGCAGACCAACAACATAAAAGCTGGTTGCCATTTTGGAAAAGGGGCAGTATGGCTAATGGAGGTGGAAGCTGGAGACTCAGAAACACTCTCAGTTTACATCTTCGAGCAATGGCTGCACACGCAGGGTATCTGGAACCATAGGTGCTGAGTTTCTGATGTGCTGGTGAGTACTCCCCTAGCTCTGCCCCAGGGCCTATCCCTGCTCAATGTCTTCCTCCAGGGCTCCACCCTACCTCTTCTTACACCATTCCACCCTCTTCCTAGTATGCCCAGCCCTTGCTCCTCCCCCCATCCTCTCAGTGCCTCCTGCACTCCATGCGGGGGTGGGAAGGAGGCAACGATAAGCGGGGTCACCAGTGGTCACTAGACTGACCTTCTACATAACACAGGCTACAGACATTCTCCAAAATAATTCCTAGAGCTGATCTTTAGAACAAAACATCCCATCTTCATTTAAAAATTGCCAGTGATCAAGAAGCCTGTTTGAGGAAGAAAGAATACTTAGGATGAGGTGTTTGCAGATCTCACTGTAGACTCTCCTGAAGAACTTGAAGCCAACAGTGAGCTGAAGATTGCATTTGAGATCAGAGAGAGAGAGAGACAGGGAGGTATCCAGAGAGAGCACGGAAGTGTCCAGAGACTGTGTTGCTATGGCAAAAGACACTAGAGAAAGAAAGGGACATGCAGAGACAACTCCTGGAGGATAATGCAGAAGCAGAATTCTCTGCTGCAGTGCATGCTGCTTGTGAACACACAAACAATCCCATGCCCTCAACCAGGACCCAGCCATGTTCTGCAGCCACTGGACAATACAGTATACTGGCAATACCATCATAAGTTCCTGCCAAACCCTATTTAATTCCCTATCCCAAGCTCACATTAGCAAGAACAATTGCACCTGGGAGCCCAGCTCCTTCAAGCCATCTAACAGCCACAAACTTTGAGCCCTGCCACCTGCCACTGGAAGAGAAAAGAACAAGAAGAGGCAGAGGCAGGATGTTTACCTGCCTCTGACCCCTATGCTATTGTGTGCTGCCTTCCAATGCACTGCCTCATTTTAAAACTGTGTTTCCTTGTTGTTTTCAAGGTTTATTTCTGGTTATTACATACTAAAGTATCATTTAATTAAAAAGTTCTTCATAAAGCAACTTCAATGAAGGTAACACAGAAAAACTGTACATTTTGTGTAAGACATGGACATAAGGCATAAGAGAAAGGAAGGAGTGCCATGATGTTCCACTTTAGAAAGTTATGATTCTTTCCTTATGGTATGTGATAATGTCCATGTAGGGCAGGGGTGGGGAACCTATGGTCTATGGGGTGCATCCATCCCACTGCTTAATTTCATCTGGCCTGCGGCACCCCCTGCAGCTCTGAGTGTCAAGAGAGCAGCTCACTGCCACAGGGCTGGAACCCCGAGCTTCAGCGCGCACCTCCTCCCACCACTGCAGGGTGGGAACCCTCAGCCCTGGTGCTTGTCTCCCCACCGCATGGCTGGAACAATGAGCCTTGGTGAGCCTCACATGCATACACACCTGGCCACAGGCCTGGAGACACCAGTTTGCCCCAGTGTAGGGGAAGCCCTGACCCTCCATGCACCCCGGGGTGGGTGAGTGGCCCACAATTGACTATTTTTGTGGGTCAATGGTCCGAGACAGAAAAAAGGTTCCTCACTCCTGATGTAGGGTGCCGCACATTTTGGTATCTGCTGTAATGTGGACATTTAACTGTTCTACAGTGGCAGAATTAAAATGGCACAACTGTAACTGCAGCAAGCTTTGCATTTCCATGACCTAGGCAAGTGTAAACGGGAGAAGAACTTTCCAGAGGAGGAAGGCAAGATCAGAGAATTAATTGCAGCTTTGCACCAACATGTTGATGCCTGTCTGCATTAATAGGGTTTTTCAAGTCATTACTCAACTTTCCTAAGCTATTATTGTTCACAAGTATACAGCCTATCATGGAGAAGTTGGGGTAAGGGAAGAAGCAGGGAATTAAGACTTTTGCTTCACACATTGGAAGTGTTAAAGGTAATTTACACATGATGTGATAGTTCTATCCATTTCAGCAATATAGGGAAACTTTCTCTCCATAATATAAGACTATATGAAATTCAGCAATGTCTTCTCAAATGGAAATTCTACTTTTCTCAATTTTTGATGTTTTCAAAATTTACAGACAGGTCTGGGGGTCAGTCAATGTTTACTTATTTGTGCTGAATACCCCTACCTCACATTGCTAGACTATGGATGAGGACTATTCAGTATAATAACTAAATCCTCACTTTCTCCTCCTCTTCCAAGTTTGCCATGTCTACCACTGTTACTTTCAGGCACCTGCTATTCTGGTGTGTCACATATACTATGCTGAGGACATTCCAACAATCACGGGATAATTTTACAATATGAATCTGACATGAAGAATTCCTTTTAAATATGCTGAGTGGTGTCATTTCCTCCAGTTCCTTCTCTGAGTCTCTGAAATGTTTTAGAATGTGTATTCTCCTAAAGAGTGCTTTTCAAAAAGTATAGGCTCTGTCCAGCCTTTGGCTTCTGTACAAGACTTCCATTACCTACAGTGACAATTCTCAGAGTAGCTCAGTTACTGGATTTGTCAATTAAACATTAAGAATTGTTTCATCCACCTCTGAAGTGAAATACAGCTTGTTCTAAAAACACACAACAATGCTCCATAATGATTTAACGAACATAGGCTTGTGTCATACTTCTCAGTGGTGAGTTTAAGAAAATTATCAACTATTCTATGAAGTGAATATTTGTTTTTGTCAATTTAAGAGATGTTTTCCTTTAGGAGTGTACATTTGTATTCGTGTAAAGTTACCTCCTGTAAACTCTTGCTCTGGGGGAAGAGTTCACAACAAGTATTGGGGCCCTTTATGACCTAATAATTAAACTCTTTGGAAGTTTTCATGTAAATATGGTAAATTACATGAAATATTATTCTAAAAGTTTATCTGAGGATTTATTAGTATTAAGCTAAGGACAAGACATCTTATTCTAACTCCCTCTGAAGTTTGTTGGAGATTGTTGCGTATGACTTACGTCTGGAATGGACTTTGAAGTTAATATCCATTCCCTCAAAAGAAGTAGACTTTGGACTGTAAAAAACTTGAAGGAGCGGGGAACTTCTGTGTCTTTGTGATTATCAAAGAGGCTGCCCACAATAAGAACCAGTATGTAATGAGAAGCCCTTTATAGCATCATTTATAAATTTAGATTTTTGTGAAGAA